GTTGTATATTTTAATGTTGTTTGTGTATTAGTCCCCCTCCCTTGTTTTATTGTAAGCCGCCCGGAGTCCTTCGGGAGTGGACGGCATACAAGATCAATAAAACCATAAACCATAAACATATACATATATAAGGGCACACACAGCTTTGGAGATTCACGATTCACAATGACCTTAGGCTGCAGGGATGACTTCTCCATCATGGCAATACCAGGTGGTCGTAAGATCAGGCATGACTTACAACAATTGCCCTGCTTAGCAACGGAGAGTCTGGCGCCAGTTGTGGTCATAGCTCAAGGGCCATCTATGTTGCAAGCACCTCATACTACAAAATGGAGAATTAGACTATGATTTAACTGTCGATATGGACTCCAGGTTCAGCTCGTTCTAATCTGAGAAATACTTGGAATGGGGAGGAATCCGATTGAGACGAACTTGATTTTTAAAAACTTGGATTTTCTGTCTTATAGAACTTGATTTCAGCCAAGTCTGCTTGTGCACTTTACGCACATTTTTATGTTGCACAAGCTGCCACCAACGATTGTCACCTTTTAATCTGGTTCAAACCCACTTCGGGTTAAAATCTGTGGCTGTAGCCACAAAGGCCAAGATGTTCTGATTCCCTGCAAACCACAGGAAGTTGCCTATCTCTGCTCAGTTCCGTGGTTGAGACCTTCGGGGAAGGGAAACGGAGGACAGGATCTCGTACGACTCTCGGATGGAACGATTCCTCGGGCAGACGGTCAGCAAACATTTTGGGCCACTAAAAGCATCTCACATGTTAACACCAGTAGTTACCAACGTTCCTTTAGTGCAGTGTTTCTCAACCTTGGCCACTTGAAGATGTCCAGACTTCAACTCCCAGAATTCCCCAGCCAGCATTCGGTTGAGAAACACTGCTTTAGTGGCTGTTCTGGGGTTACAAAGGCAACGTGACTTGGTGACTGTTTTGGGACTTGTAGCATCAGGTGATCCAAGTTCAAACGCTTGGCAACGGTTGCCGTTTCCCGGCCTCAGGTCATCTCCCTTTGTGACTTTCTAACCAGCAGAGTCAATGGGGAAGCCAGCTTCACTTAACAGCCATGGCAAGAAAGGACGTAAAATGGGGCAAAAGTCGCTTAACTCTCCTGCTTACAACAGAAATGTGAGATCCTAAGTTGAGGACTTAACTATGTAGGGAACTTGTAGGGAGCAATGATTTAAAACTTGCTCTTCACATAATCGATAGGTGCCGCGAATGCTGGCTGGGGAATTCTGGGAGTTGAAGTCCGGACATCTTCAAGTTGCCAAGGTTGAGAAACACTGATCTATGTATTAGTTATCTATCATCTATCTATCATCTATCTATCTATCTATCTATCTATCTATCTATCTATCTATCTATCTATCTATC